ATTGAATTGACCACACGTTGCAACTTAACACGTACGCACGTATACCATTTATATATCTTTTGCTACTTTCTTTAAAGCAAACCAAAAGAAATTAGAAAACGACGAGACTGAATAAAGTTAAATTTATGAGAACAAATCACCACGCATATGAACAAAAAAAATGGAAGATGATATGGGATGATAGAGCAGATTAAATAGGAAAAAAACGGAAGATCAGAATATGGGATGACAAAGTGGGGTGGTTATTTAATCTGATGAATTTGAAGTGACTTATTTTATTTTCATGCAAAATATTCCTGTTATTAGTTATTACTAACCAATATCCAATCTAAGAAGACTTCTCATCTAGAGGTTACTGCCATCATTCACAATCTCTTGGATCTGATCGAGTTGAGTTATTAAGGTAAACTGCCATTGACGTGCATGCATCCCATCAGAAAGTGACACTGCATCACACCTAAGTGGATGAGTTAAAAAGAGGGTGAAGCAACTAGAAAAAAAAACCCAATTTAAGCCACACAGTTATGGATTAACACGCCGCCAATATGGTCAGGAAAGTTGGGCATCTACTTGCAAAAATGTGGGGCCCGGATTTGATTAATGAAAATGTGATTAGATGGTGATATGAGAGTTTTGAGCAACTAAATTTATCTAAGCATGCATCCTACCACTTCTTTTTTTCTTGCTACATAAAGAATATACATGATAGTGTATATTATGGTATCAGGATAGAGTATAGACCGAACTATTTTGGTACAAGTCTACATGTAAATGTGAGTTTCATATATAGTTAGGTATGAGTTCTACGAGTTCAACCCAGATAGGTTAAGAAAACGTCGATTTTCTTTGACCCAACATAAGGTGATTTTGACGGCACGTGTCTACATGATGTTGGTAGTTCAATGAAAAATGACCTAGCTTAATTACAGCCACCAGTTTGAGAGTAAAATCTTGTCCTCAATAATGAGAAAAAGTATCCCATTTGAACACATATTATTGGTCAATTAATATTATAGATATATGATTTTACATTTTCCATGGAAAATAATTTCATAATAGATTATTCATATGATGTTAAACTATATAAATATTTAGAAATAAATGGTTAAAGTTTTATATTATAAATGGGTGCCCCTCTTTTCTTTCAAGAGCTACAAGTACATAAAAGTTATTGTATAATTCTAGTATAGTTACAATCTAATTATATTGCGATTGCACTATAGTTATGTTTGAAAGTTTTTTACTGAACAAACTTGTGACATTTTTTAAATATTCCCTAGAACTATTGCATATCCCTAATCTTTTGTATAGGTGCAAAAGCACTATATATATATATATATATGGATACCCATATGGGACTCTATGGTGCCCGGGCTCCAAGGTATAAAACACACAAATTCTCTTAAATTTTTAAAAATTTACAAATTGTAAGTAGATATCTAGGTATATAAATTTGATTCATACAAATACCTAACAACAAAACAACTCAAACTCAACTTTATTTCACAATTAATTATTACATACCTAACGAATTATATGTCTGGATGTTATATACCTAGAACCAAAATCTAACAAAAAAAAGTACAAACTCAGTTCAAACTTGTTTGAACTTGTTAGTAAAGAAGTTAATGTTCATATCTAAACATTTTAAAAAAATTCATACTCATTCAAATTGGATATATACTCAATTTGAATCTTAGAGCCCATACTGTATGTAGCACCAGTTAATTTACCTATATATATATATATATATACACACACACACACACACACACACACACAAAAGTACAACACTAGACCCTTACTTATATGCATGTCTTACTTTATAACCAAGTAAATACACATATATCTTCGATCTATTAGAATCATATATACTGGATCGTTGAATTGAATTATAATTTACCACGTCTAGGATGAATAATTGTTGAACAATCCGGCGGCTAAAAGGTCCAACAAGGAGAGTTGGAGGTTGGAACAGCCTGTCACAACAGGTTTTTTGTACGCAGTTGTTACCAACTTCAACGCCGACGACGACGTCGTGTGGCCAATCTTCACCTGTCACCGCTGGCTCCTGATGGCCGGCGACGACGATAGATGAGAGCCAAATGAATAAGTAAACATCTCATCAACAAAAGCCCTAATTAACATGCTAATTAAGAGGCTATGAAGCCCTAGCTGGGTAGTACTTATTTTATTTGTGCAAGATAGGATTAGCCTTGGTAGTTTTAGTTAATTAAAGGGGGTGATTTGGGGATGGATGGATTGTGCTTTTACATCCCTCAAGGCATCATCAATCATTATCCTTCCTCCGGCTCCCGGCAGATGATGAGGTGTGATGCAGGTGGGATCGTGTGCCACCTGGAGGGGAAGATTCCTCTTTCTCTCACCCTAAACTTCAGCGTTTTTCTTAGCCTTTGAGCAAGTTTAATAGTATAGCTAACTGCTAGCTCTAATTTATCTATAGCCAATCTAATAGCTTATTCATAAAATAGTTACATACTACACTATTAATACCTGGTCCCACCTGTCATACACACCGTGTCTTGGAGTCCGTGCTACAGCTGGCTACAAATCTGTAGCCCGCTGCTCTTCTCTCTCCTCATTTATCTCCTCAAAATACGTTTGCAGCTGGCTATAGCCTGCTATTGTACCTGCTCTTAGTGGTGGTGGTGCTAGTGCTACACGCACTTGATGCTGTACCAGGATAAATAACACGCAATGCATGAGCATCATGCCCACCCTAAAAGGCAGAAAATTAACCTCCTCTCTTCCTATGTATATTGCCATGTTTACCGTGTATTCATCTATATAATTAAGGTATAGGATGTGTGCGTAAAATTGTTTCATTTTGCATTCATGTAGATAGGTAAAGCTGGTACCACGTCTAATTAGTTATGTGCTTGTTTTCCATAAAGATTTTTTTTTATTTGCACCCCTTCCTTAGAGAATTAAGGTGCCAAAAATGAAGAATGTGATTGAAGGTACACAAAAAAGGATAAGTGCTTCCCCTGTTGGTATTGCACCGTGAAGTATCAGGCTCAAACGTTCGGCTACAAAAACTTCTCCTTAAAGATAGTTTTGGTCTTACTGTCAACAGCTAGCTAGAGTTATGTCACAAACGTATGCATACACAAACCGACATACAAACCAATGGTCAAACCAGAGAAGCATCCCATGGTTTCCATTACATACATAATAACTTCTTTCATTTATTTGTTGTGTGAAGTAATACACCAATGATGAATTCTACTACAAAAGAAATAGTGAAATCAATGACAACTCATTTTTTTTTACCAAAACAACTCAAAGTTTTACGTGTATAGTAGAATTAAATTTATATATAGTTGTGTAAATTTCTACATTGTGAATTAAGGGAAGGTAATTCAATGAAGTTGTCAGTCAAATTTCTACTACATTGGTTTATGGAGACATAGTATTTTTTTATAGGCAATATGGAGATATGGATTGATAGTGTAAATCCAAAAATGCCGCTTGAAGACATGACGTAGAGATACCTACATTTGTACACATTATTTAATGAGTACTACACCATTCACCATCTATATATTTTATTATATATGAATGCATGATATACTACATGATGCATGCATTTGCAAGAAAATTCACATTGAAAGTATGGGCAACTCTTACTTCCTAACTGTACATGCACATCCCTATTTATCACGAATAGAGTAGATACATATGCACGAATAAATATACAGTGAGATCACAGGCGTTACTCGAACTCTTGTTTCGAAGGGAGCATGGAAAAACCATTTTGAAATTCCCAATTCTTGTACCTACTTGTTCATTTACATCAGGCTCAATATTTATTTGAATTTCTAACTGTTGAGGCTAATGGAGAAAATACCAGTAAACAATATAGAAGTGATGCACTGTTGTGACCATAGCAAAGCTCAAATTCAACTCCCTTTTGGGCCCAATTCTAAAATTAATCTCCCATGTGAAACGAAATGCCAATCCCGGTCTTGCCCATACATTAACTTAAGCCGGGGCATAATAATTGGGGTGGTTAACTTAATTTAATCACCAAGATTTTTTGCCTAATCATTAAAAAAAAGGGCCACATGGCCATTTATTACCTGGAAAGGGAGGGATTAACCCACAACATGCCAATGCATGGCCATTTTTATACTCCTCTGCCCCTGAACCATTGGCACGCGGATACCACCAACGCGGCTGACATGACACGTGGGCCCATGCGCATGTGGGCCCCACATGTCAGTGGCGTAAGCGTGTGGGCCACCTAGTGGGGTTGGGTCTGGGAGTGGGGGGGTGTTGGGGGGGGGGGGGGGTCCGCGTTAATCGCCGGGCACGTTCTGCACCTCTTTCGCTCTCCGGAAGGGCCCACATTACAGCTGTTATAATGTGGTCTTGTCTGCCTCCTCCTCTCACTCCTACTACTACTCCTTTAATTATTATTTTTTTGTTTTTCTCCAATTCTCCTAACTAATTTTGTTCCCACATGTAAACTTTTTTTTTTGGTTTTTTGGGGATTTAATTTTGCCTTTGTAATGATTTTTTTGGCTGTTGCTGATGCTGCTGCAAAGTAGTAAAACCAATCTTGGTGTAATTGTTTTTCTGCTGCCCCTTGGATCCTCCAATGGTCCTTGGTTTAGTACTGGTCATCAGTGCAAACAATTGCTTCTAACTCAGATGAATTTTATATTTTTCATCTCAAAAGAAAAGGTATTGATGAGAGTAGAAATGGTGAGGTAAAATAAAAAGGGTAATTTTGAGGATAATTTATGACTAAATTTCCAGTGTGAAAAATACTCCTCCAGCTTAGTACAGTAGATCATGAATCACAGAATCCAATATATTCCCCCATGGGGATTGAGGTAGAGGAGTTTTTGTAGAGGTATTTGTGCTCCTCTCCCTTTTATTACAAGCCTCCACCTTTCTCTCTCATCCCACAGTTTCCTACCCCTCCTTTCTTCTTCACCAGTTTGTCTCTCTCTCTCTCTCTCTCTCTCTCTCTCTCTCTCTCTGTCCTTTCGGTTTTAACTAGCATTAGGCAGGTGGTTAGGAGGGGAGGTAAAGCTCAAAGCTCCCTCCCCTGACAGCGCAGCATCTTGTTTGTTTTATCTCCCACATCATCTCCCTCATCATCATCATCATCTCCTCTTCTTGCAAGCACCCACAACAACACAAACTCTCTTTCTTCATCTTTCTCTCTCCTCCTCCTCTCTTTGTTGTACTCTACTCAACATTTCTCAACTTTCACTTCTTCTTCTTCTTCTTCCTTTCTCTCTTCACAGCTATCATATTCTCCTCCTGCTTGCTGCTGCTGCTGCTGGCTGTTTCTCTCTCATCCATCCACCCTATTATTTATTCAAGGCTAAGTGATGGTATCTTAATTCTTTTTTCCTCTCTGCCTCCTCTTCTTCCTCCTCCTCTCTCTCTCCCTTGCTGTTGCAGGAGTATAATTTTTATTTTTGCCAGGCTTCTTCCTGTACTGGTGTTTCCTTGTTTCCTCCCTTTCTTGTGCTTCTTCTTCTTCCTCATCTTCTTTTTTTTTTGGGTTTTCTCTCTCCTGCCATCCTTTTCACCTCTACTAGCTCTCCTGATGTACTGATCATTCCATCACCTCCATTCCCCAGTGGTAACACTCGTGGGGGAGGAGGAGGAGGAGGAGGTAGTAGCATGCAGCAGCAGCAGCCAGGGGGAGGAGGGGGAGGGGTGCAGCAGTTCGGCGCGGTGGCGCCGGAGATGTCGCCATTCTCGCCGGCGGGAGGAGGCGGCGGGGGGCGGATCTCCATGGCGGAGGCCGCGTCGCCCATCAGCAGCCGGCCGCCGCCGGCGCAGCAGCAGTTCGACGAGCTCGGCGTAGGCGGCGGAGGCGGAGGCGGAGGTGGGTTTGACGCCGAGGCGCTGGCGGCGGCGGCGGTCGGCGAGGAGGGAGCCAGCGGCGGCGCGGGGGGGAACCGGTGGCCGCGGCAGGAGACGCTGGCGCTGCTCAAGATCCGGTCGGACATGGACGCCGCGTTCCGGGACGCCACCCTCAAGGGCCCGCTCTGGGAGGAGGTCTCCAGGTAAAAAATTCAACGCCATGAGCCCCCCTCAAGAATTGCTCCGCCGTCGATCTCGCCGCCATGGCTGAATTCTCGTCGGCGAAATGCTGCATGAAATCTCGGCGGCCTCCAGAAGCAGTAGCCTGGTGTGATTTTTGGTTAGGCTCAGTTAATTAATTACCGGCTAAAATAAACACCTCCTTTTCACTTTTTTTCCCTTAACCATCGTTCACGAGCACAGTGACTTTTTTTCCATTTTAAAATAATACGGGTATCACTCTCCTTCCTCACCTTTCCAAAGAATTTTTTTTTCATGGCCATCTCTTATCAAGATGGTGGTACAATACAACACACGCCCATACGCTTCAGATCCGAAAGGCATCAATTCCAATTTTGCAAGCAGAATTGGCCATAAAAATGCATTCTTTTGCACAAGCACAGGAGAAGAAAAAAAGATGGAATTTTTACTCCCCCCCTGCAGCATTCTCTCTAGTCTCTTCTTGGGATTTGATTCATCCTAGTTTAGCTAGCTATTGCTGCATGTATGCACACACCTTCCTTTCTTTATCTTTTCCGATGGGTGCCCAAATCGAGTAAAATTCTACTCCATGCATGCAACTTTCCTGTGAGGGTTACAGCTTAATTTCCTTCAAATTTTGGCTCGCCATTGACGAGCTCGAGCTTAAGCTTCTTCTTCTTCGTGTTGTTTTTAATGGCGGCGTGGTGGTGGGTTGGGTGCAGGAAGCTGGCGGAGGAGGGTTACCGGAGGAGCGCGAAGAAGTGCAAGGAGAAGTTCGAGAACGTGCACAAGTATTACAAGCGCACCAAGGAGAGCCGCGCGGGGCGCAACGACGGCAAGACGTACCGCTTCTTCACGCAGCTCGAGGCGCTGCACGGCACCGCCGCCGGCGTCGTGGCAGCGCCATCGCCGGTGACGTCGCTGGCCCCGCCGCCGGCGACGGCTGTGGGGGTGTCCGGCGGGGTGCGCGCCCCCGCCGAGCCGCCGCCCGCGGTGGTGATGGGGAACGTGATGAGCTTCTCGACGTCGAACACGGAGGAGTATTCCGACGAGGAGGACTCCGACGACGAGGGGACCGAGGACATGGGCGGCGGCGGCGGTGATGAGAGGGGGAAGAGGAAGAGGTTGTCGGAGGGTGGCGCCGCCGCGGGCGTCGGTGGCGGCGGCGGAGGAGGAGGAGGGAGCGGGAAGATGATGAGGTTCTTCGAGGGGTTGATGAAGCAGGTGATGGAGCGGCAGGAGGCGATGCAGCAGCGGTTTCTGGAGGCCATCGAGAAGCGGGAGCAGGACCGGATGATCCGCGAGGAGGCGTGGCGGCGGCAGGAGATGCGCGCCTCGCCCGCGAGCAGGAGATCCCCGCAGGAGCGCGCCACGTGGGCGACGCCGCCGTCGTGTCCTTCATACAGAAGATCACCGGGCAGACCATCCCAATGCCGCCCATCATCGCCGCCCCCGCCATCACCGTCATGCCCCCACCGGCGCCATCCCAGCAGCCTCAGCCGCCGCCACCGCCGTCTCACCCCACCCCCATCACCTCCGTCGCGCCAGCTCCGCCGCCGCCGCCACCAGCAGCAGCAGCAGCAGCAGCATCCCAGCCATCGCCGCAGGCCACCAAGTCGCCATTGCCGGCGACGCCGCAGACGCAAAGCAGCATGGACATTGTCATGACGGCCGCCGAGGCGCACGACGCGGGGTACGACGGGTCCGGCGGCGGCGGGGGGCAGCCGTCGTCGTCGCGGTGGCCCAAGGCGGAGGTGCACGCGCTGATCCAGCTGCGGAGCAACCTGGACAACCGGTACCAGGAGGCCGGGCCGAAGGGCCCGCTGTGGGAGGAGATCTCCGCCGGCATGCGGCGGCTGGGCTACAGCCGGAGCTCCAAGAGGTGCAAGGAGAAGTGGGAGAACATCAACAAGTACTTCAAGAAGGTCAAGGAGAGCAACAAGAAGCGCCCCGAGGACTCCAAGACCTGCCCCTACTTCCACCAGCTCGACGCCCTCTACCGCAACAAGGCGGCTCTCAACTCCTCCTCCTCCTCCGCCGCCGCCGCCGCACCGGCCCTCCCGCCGCCGGAGCACGCGGAGCCGGCGGTGACAGTCGCCGCGCCGATCTCGCAGACACCGCCGCCGCCGCCGCCACAGCCCGTGACGACGACCAAGAACGGCAACGGCACCAGCAGTACAAACGGCGCGAACGGCGAAGGAGGAGGAGGCGGCTCCGGGGGCATGCAAATGCAGGCGAGCAACGGCAGCGTCGTCGCCGGCAACAAGTTCTTCACCGGCGCGGCGGCGAAGAAGGTAAGCTAAGCTACGTGCATCCATCCGTGTGCATTTCCCCGTGTGGCCGTAGCGAATTGGCGCGTACACATGTGGTACGCTGCTGTTCGTTTTTGGTGATCCAATGCTGATTGCGTAACGCTGCGCATTTAAAGCCAGAGGACATTATGAAGGAGATGATGGAGCAGAGGCCGCAGCAGCCGGCGGCGGCGAACAACGCCTTCAACCGAACGGACGGCGGCGGTGGCGGCGGCGGCGTGGACAGCGACAACATGGACGAGGACGACGAGGATGACTACGACGACGATGACGACGACGACGACGACGACGTCGACGGCAACAAGATGCAGTACGAGATCCAGTTCCAGCATCAGCACCACCACCAGCAGCCGCCGCAGCACCGCCACCAGCAGAGCGTCGTCAGACCGAACGCCGCCGCCTCCGCGGCCGCCGGCGGCAACCCGCCCGGCACCGCCGCCCCCGCCACGGCGGCGGCCGCAACGACGACCACCGGATCTTTCTTGGCAATGGTCCAGTGATCCATCCATCCATCCGGTGACTCTCTCTCCTTCCTACACATGCATACCTCCATGCGCGTCAATGGCTTCTTCTTCTTCTTCCTCCTCCATCTCTTGTACCATTTGTATCTACCTACCTGTCGCCTCCTCCATGGCTCGTCCATATCTCAACACCATCAAAAAGCTCAAAAACCTAAAACCTCAAGAATTCTCTTCCTCCTCCGGCATATTTCTCCATTGATTCCTCATGCAAGCTAGCAGCTATACATCTCCATGCCAAGAAAGAAAAATTCGCCCATTTCAAGCTGCATGCATGCCCATCGATCGTTCGTCGCTGGATGTTCCTAGCAAGAAAAAGCTAGTAGCATCGATCCATTTCTTGATTCGTTCTTGTGTTAATTACAGTGGTCTCTCCCATCTCGCGTCTCCTCTTAGCTAGTGTTAAAAGCAAAAAAAAAGGAATTGGTGGCGTGGTAATTTATTGATTTGTTGTGGTAAATTTAATAAGGACCCTCCATTCGTGAGGGTTCACGGAGAGGGTTTAAAACTTGGTGCGGTGAAAAACGGCACAGAGGAGCGGTAATAACACCTCGCTCTCGCGGTTAAAAAAAAAGGAAGACAAGGGTATATATGCAAAATGTTGCGGTGGTTGTGGTTGTTACAAATTATTACACCTCGGTAAAAATTTGTTTGGCTATGTGTACTACTGCTCGATCTACTGTGGCATGTTGCAAGGGCGCGGTGAAAAAAAAATCGAAGGTGAAAAATTAAAGATGTGCTCATCAAGTGAAGTGGCAGTGAAAAAGCAAGAGAGCTGGTGCTGGTGTATGCCGGAATTTTTCCCATTTCTCTTTTTTTTCTCTTTTCTCTCCTTCTTTTATATGTTTTGTTTTGTTTTTTCTAATTACCTAAACTGTCCATTATGTATTACCTGAGTTTTTTTTTCTTCCTTTCCCAAACTGTTGTTACCGAAGTTTTACAGTGTATACTCGCGACATATTATATGTTACATTCTTGCTATTCTTATACCAGCATTCTTTCTAAATAAGTGTGATGCTCTTTGTCTACTTTATTTATTTTTAGAGAAAAGAAGGATTAGAGGCAGATGCAACGATTTAAATTACATGTGCAGCTCTGGTTATACTCTAGGATCCAATGCTTAATTTATTGTAAACTTTTTAGTTTTAGATCCCATAAGGATCGATCTCGATCTTTCAAATATTAATATAAATTGCTATGCCACGATTAGTATAAGCATGGGGAGATAGCCCTCACATGCCAAAGATTAGTATAGCACAAGGAAGGCTTGATATATAGGGTATAAAATTTAAAGCAAGTAATTATCAAATTATAACCGAGGTAAACTCATTAAAATAACTAGGTAGCATCCAAGCTAGATGTCACGGTATGTTGTCATATGCATGCATGCATGTAAATAAAAAAAATGCCTGCAAAAATTTAGGTAGATCAAAAGATAAAATTCGGTATGATCTTGATCAACTTAAATTGCCAGCACAAAATCAACTAGTAGAAGGATCTTGTGTAGATCGCCCTATCATGACAACTTCGAGTGCTAGCTAAGAGAGCATGTGCTACAAAGTGACACTTGATTAATTATCACTTGCACAAATTCTTGCTACTTAAACCACACTTTTATACACACTATGCTACTGTATACTACTCCCAGTAGCACTAGTCCTGTAATTAAAATTGTGCTCCTAGTACGTGAGATACCCTACCACTGTAGTTTTAGGCTTGGATGCCTCGGAGTTAGAGCCAGCAGGGGGGGGGGGGGGGTTGCCTAGCTATAGTGAGTATGGCTGATCCTTTGGCAAGCATACAAAATTAGTTTTGGGGTCAGGCTGGCTTGGCTGTGGCTGGGGATCCGTATAAAAACGGTTGAAGTGTGGGGTGATGTGTCTGCCATAAAAGGTTAAAAAGAATGGAGCTGTGGGATTGATGCCTCCTGTTTAAATTATGGGAGAACGTGGAGGTTGCAGGGCGCGCGCTCGTTCACCTTGCTGCCCTTCGTAGCTCTAGCTCTACTCCCTCGGTCCCAAAACAAAAAATAACTTAAAAGAAAATATAACTTTTTCTCCTAATACAACGAATTTGAATAGAGGGTTGTCCAAATTCATTGTACCAAAAAGAATCACATCTAGACTGAGGGTTGTCCAAATTCGTTGTATCAGAAAGGGTCACATCTCATACTATGTTAAGTTTTTTTTGGACGGAGGGAGTATGTAGTAGTAGCAGCATCATCAGTTCTAAGGTTGTACCAGAAAGGGTCACATCTCATATGTTAAGTTTTTTTTTGGACGGAGGGAGTATGTAGTAGTAGCAGCATCATCAGTTCTAAGGTGGGAATAATAATTTTAGGATTTTTGATATGAAATGGAATAGTTTCATATTCTAAATACAGGAGTTCGATCTCAGGATTTTAAAGAATTTTTGTTAGAGAGGTAAAAATTTTCGTATTCTAAGAGGGATTCGGAGAGGGATGGAGCTAATTCTAAGATGGTGGCTCGCGTACGTGCCATGTACCTAGGAGTACATTATATTTGTGGATTTGAATGCAACATTTCCACTATTTTCTTTTGTGAAGGGAAACACTAGGAGGGCCGTATAATACACTGTCAAGATAGTGCACTATGCATACACGTTGCAATAATTTAGTGATAAATCTATCCATTATCTTAAAAGAAGAGTGATAAATTTATTATATAAGTTTATCGTGTTTGATAATGTTTGCTATCTTATGACAATAGATTTACATGAGCTACATCTACACTCTAATTCCCTAGTACACACTATTCATGCATCTTTTCTCACACTCTTCATAGCTTCTTGGGCAATTGGCATGAGAAGGGAGAGCTTGGCTCTACACTCTACTTTCTTCTGGCTGCAGGCTGAATGTTGCACATGGGATGGTGAGAAAGTTAAAAAAGAGGGAGAGATAGGAAATTAGGAACAGACATGTCCAGGAGGAGCCCACACAATGCCACCTTGCTTCCTACTTGTGCTCCCTTAGCTTTTGTTCCTTTATTTTTTTACCACTGGCTTTTTATCTTGTCATGGTGGTAGTAACTATTAAGTCATATGTCCAATGCGTAGGAGGGCCAATTCATCATCTGCCAACCTGTTGAGATCTGCGTGTGTAAATTCAGTGTACAATCATGTGGCAATAGCATCCGCATATGTATAACTATCTAGACCAGTAACAAGTGTAACAAACAGTTAGAAAATGCTAGACAAACCAAATTCTAAAGGCATTTTGCACACAAACCTCAAAATCTGAAACAATATTCCAAGTCCAAGAAAAATTTCCTTTTCTTACCTGGATACTAGGGTGGTGTTTGGTTGGAGGGACTAAAGTGGAGCTAAACTTTAGTCCCAGGGACTAAATTTAATCCCTAGTTCCCAAACACCCCCTAGGTAATCTGCAACAGGGCCATCCACTGAGAGTTTGTGCATGGAAAAGGCAGGCCCTCATGCAGAGAGGTGGCTGCAGAAGATTCTTTTGGTGAGAGAGAAGAGTGAACCAATGCTACTTCAACGTACTACCAGTAGTACGTTTTATTCAGGTAAAAGATGGCAAAGTGCACAGGGTAATAAGGTGAAAAAGAGAGAAAAAAAAGAAGAAAATAGTACTGGCTTAGGCACATTGAGAATTCACTGGCCCCGGCAGCATGTGCGGTGACTCCACGGTTCACGAGGCGGTGTTACTTGAGGGCTGGAAACTGGGCGGTATACTGAAGGGCGAAAAAAAAAAACTGGAGAAACTTTCGCTAAGTCAACACCCAGCGTTACACAGGCTTTTCACTAGGTTTGGTTTTATGTGAAGGTGTAGTTTCAACATAGTCCAGGGGAAGAGCGAGGGGTGTTGTCAAGCCCGAACAATAAAGAATGTTTACTAGCAATCGGTAACTTTTAGTACATGGGTTGCCGATAACAGAACAATAAAAATACCGACGGCAGAGCTCGAACAGCTGTCCAACTATCTCAGGAGCCAGCTCCGCCACTGACATAGCCTCTTGCCAGCGAAGAACATTTGGGTATATAAGATATATTATAGGAGTACGAGTACCTCTGGTTTATTGAAATTATTGCACTGCAAAGACACCCCCCCCAAAAAAAAGAGAAGACAATATTAGATGAGCAATTCTACGGTCCTTGAGGAGGTACCATGAGGTACCAAAAATTTAGTGTAAAATTTGGTACCTCATGGTACCTCATAATACCTAGGTACCAAGAGGTACCAAATTTTCAATAGAAAAAGTGGTACCTCATGGTACCTCCTCAAGGATCGTAAAATTGCTCATATTAGATTGTGCAAAAAAATAGTTGATCAATTAATCTCTAAAGCATCATCCTTTCACTTATGCTTATATAAGCCAAACTTTAAAATTTAAAACTTAGTTTTAAAGTTGATTTTGTTGGTTTTTCATCATAGTTTATTTTACAGCACATGCTTTTAAATCTCTAAGGACAGTATGTATAAAAATTTTATCCACATTATTTTTCAATGGCTGATAAGCAATACGGATAAACACGAAGTATAAGCGAAACAATGGGGCCGCTAGTCTCTAATGAATATGATGATAACTGTACACTTGTAAATTTTACAAAAATTCTTTCAACACAGTTCACCTGAAGACTATATTTATATTGAAAATTTTCAAGCGTCTATGTATCATTTTGTCAACAATATTTGGTGACTAATTATCATCACTATGATAGAAAAAGAATATATCCAAAATATACTGCAAACAAAGTCAACCACATAGGAGAAAAAAAAGAGAACAATAATGTTGCATTTTTGTAGAATATCTTATTAGATGACACAAACTCATGATCTCCAGGACAATGAAATGGCATGCATATGCCTTGATCAGGCTGCTAGCTTGTCTGGATCACAGTATTAAACAGATAACTAAATGAACATGATGAATCATCAAACAAATGCATAGTCTTTTTCAATATTTATTATCTTACTCCTATATACATAGAACATGCACCACATTTTATATAGTAGTACATGGAACACTCTATCTTCAGTGCTATATGTCGGGTTTGCTATCCTGGTTTGTTTTTGACTTTACATAGTAGCTTTTATCGGTGTGCTGGTTAGGTACATGTGTGAAGAGGGACATCAGGAAGCAAAAGAGAAGAGAAAATTGAAAATGCTTCCAATTTTGTGGCAGGTAGTACAAATGTTTTATCAAGAAAATATACCGCCTGCAAAAAAAAAAAATCTTCGGAAGGAACCCAAAGTGAATGATTTGAGATCACGCAATACTCATTTCATTCTGTTGGTTGGCTAATTAGTTATAGATGCTTTGTGCCTTCGTTGACACACTCATATGCCAATCAAGCAAATAAACAAGTTTATTTCCAAGTCCAAATAGGAATGCACACATATAGGAAATTTAGCATTCGGCCGGTGGTCTTCACGTTAGATGATGCCATTCAATTAACCAGGGACGACCTTTCAAATAGAGTCATCGCCTCATTGGTGTAGTTACGTACCCTTTGCATGTTTCTAGTTACACACTCAGTAATCCGTTTTTAACGAAAAGGCCGGATTTCACACCCAATCGATTGAACTATTTTTATTAATGCCACACAATGTCTGAAAATGACACCCATTGATTGTGTTGTTAGTAGCACTGTGGACTAAAATAAGATATAAACAGTCATGTCCCGTGAGTACGTACCATCCGCTTAATTGCCGTGAATAGTGGTTAAATGTATACAAAACTCTATCATGTTTGCACAGGATATGATTAATCAACCAACCACATTTTCTTGTTAGGTTATATAGGGGCATGTCATTGACTAATTAAGATGTGTTAAAGTAATCACCAAAACAGCATTTGATATAGTAGGTGTGGCGGTATATTAATCCTTTTTGTCTTCATTAAAATTTGATGGATTTTATACAAAACCAAATTTGACAACTAGATAGGTAGAACATACATGTACATGCTTGCATGTCGGTGCAAACAAAAAAAAACAAACAAACAAAGGCGTGCAGATGAGGAGGTATCATCCATCCTAGGGTGACAAACCGGTAAAGAGAAAAAGGGCATCCTTCCTAGTGCAAGAAAAGGTGATGTTAAAATGATTGGGTCGCAGCTCAAATGATAAGAACAAAGAGAAGCGTTTGGAAGCGGCACAAGTATGCAAAACTAAATTATTAATAGCTTAATATGCCGCCTGATAGCGACATCATGATGTGCTAGTTTCTTTTGATCTGTTGCGTATATTATTGTTTTTTTATCTCTCTATCTCTTTTCATTTTATTATATTAGTGTAACCGCACAGAAGAGAGGAAAAAAAAAACCTGTAAAGTTGCGGCGATTCCAGGGACCTTTTCCAGTGCAGCACGGCTGAAACAAATAAAAAGATAGGAAAATAATTAAAAAAAAGGGTTCCCTCCAACGTCGGGATGAGCTCTGTGTGTCGTGTTCTGTGGTGTCAGTGTCGCACAAAGCTGCAATGCTAACTTAGTTATATATGCATGCATGGCTGCTGTGTGCACCAAGAATTTACCAAAAGAAGCCTCACCAACGTGTATTTCAAATTACCCTTTAAAGGCCCTGCCGCAGGGATACCTGGGACTTTTTAATATCCCAAATGTTTAAAAAAAACTCTAATTAACTACTTTATTATGTAAAAAAAATATCAAAGTTAAAGCTGATTGCAATAGTTCAACTGGAACATATACCTAGCTATTGTGATAAAAAAATTCTAGAGTAGATTATATTACAACATGTTGTATATAAATTTGCGAATTAATTAGGAAAACAAAGCACCTGATGGATTACCTGAACAATTCTTTTTAGCCAGGGGTGTGACCATTTCTTTAAGAAAATTAAATAATGTGAGCTCTGTCAACCAATGAAAGGGTTTAATAAGGCAAACCTTGTCTGGCATGACTAATCAAACCAGTTAAACAGGGAGATGCGTCCAAATGGCCCCTTGCTATATATGTGAACCATGGTCCAGCCGGCGGCTCCCACTGTGCACGCCGGTGAGCCGCGGCGATCGATGATGGTCCAAACGGAAACCCATACATTATCATGGTCCCGTACGTGTTGCTGGAGAGACGATCTGAAATTAGACATCTTTTTCCCTTGTCCTCTTCAAGCTTGGATGCATAGGAGAGATAACTAATTAAGCAGATCCATCGATCCTTGAGAGATAAACCACATGTATATCTAGTTAGCTTGTGTTGTCCATCTGGACCACCAAGTCATCAGGTTTGGTTAGCCACAAAACCTTGCGTAAATCCATCCGATCGGGTCACATGCCGAGGCGTGAGCCTGAAGCTCGTTGAATCATTAGTACTTGCCCCTGAAGAAACAGCTTCGATCTAATCGGCAGATCAGAGGCTGGATGCATGCTTGGATTCCTTCCCTGTCTTTTAACAAAGACGAATTAAAACCCAGTATGTTAACAGACTCCGTGAGAGTTAATGACAGATTAGCACTGACCTTATTCGATGAAAAGGAACCTTCTTTCTTCAGAGAAAAGCTTGAACTGGCTTTAGCCTGTGCAAGGGGTAGGACCATTTCTGTTACAGCAACAATCCAAGATTGTTGTGTCCAGGATGGAGCTGTCAATGGCTCGAGATGTTAATCCTGCCAACTGTTTTCCCCTTTCCATAATCCCTTGTGTGGTGTGCATCTGTACAAAGCTAGCTAAATGGTGCACTTCCATTAACCTTTTAGCAGCACCTACCCAACAAGTGAAGCTAGGACCAACTGTTGACAACAATACTTCAACGACCACAATGAAAGATAGCCGGCCAATTTGGTTGTCCCTGTGAGCACTTGTACGCCATAATACAGGTTCCTTGATGCCGTCAGATTATAGATGCATGTACTCAAATACGCATCATCTGTAAACAGGAAAAGACCGTGAGTGTAACTGAAGATAGCAATCTTGTAAAAAAAAAAGTGTAATAATACGTCAGAGATTTCAAATACTGATATCAGATTGATACCACTTGATTGGCGAGGAAAATGAAGTGCTGGAATCTGGGCCAGGATTTAAGTAAAAGCAGATAAAAGTCACAAGCATATCTGGGCAGGACTAAAATCATATATTCCAACTTGCATATCGGCTTCCAGTGTCCCAAGGTATTTTTATCTTGGGCATCTCATCCATACTCAAATAAGAGCCTGACCCATGTGATAATCAGAACTACTAGTTTCCTTCTCATTAGGTTAAAGTGCCAACATTTCGCTTGTACATCATGGTTCCAGCAAAGATTCCCTACAGTTTCACAAAAGGTACCATCACCTAAAGCACACACTTGAGTGTTACTGTCATTACAGGGCAGTACAAAGTGACCAAACCACAAAAGAATTTATCAGTCAGAAGTCCATTTCACCTTAATGTGCTCAATTACATGTAGAATTGCCACCGTTGCTCTGGTTGTCTTGTCTCATGATTAGGCGAGCGCACCGATGCTGTAGTGCACTAGGAAACTCTTTCTGATATCCGTTAGTGTTAGGTGGTGAAAAAACTTTATTTACAGCGTGCAAAATCCTTCTTCCATGACCATAGCACACATGGCACCCCAGCAATCCATCTGGTTCCAGTAAGAAATAACAGAATGGTACAATGGGAAAAATACTTAAACTTTAAAGCTGATTACTTGGTAGAAATCAAGGAATCAGATTTTATTCACTTTGTCAAAATACCAGCTAAAAAATATCACATATGAGGGAATGAATTCTCTTCCATGTCCCCTACAGGGATGACCGCCAATTGAAATCGGATCTATAAAAGTAAAACGGAAAAGGAAAAAATAGTAAAGCTTCCATTTCTTTTGGTTTCTAATATTGGTAGGAAAAGGGTAAGTAATGTAAAGTAGAAGTGGGGGAATTGTGAGTTGTTGATAGTTATTCCCATGCCAGAGGAGTCCAGCCAAGAACGAAAGCTATACACAAATACTCACTAGGCAACATGGAGAGACATGGCTCCCATGTTATCCCGTGCAACCCCTGTTCCCCACTTGTGCCCTCCCGTTGCACATGGCCTCATAACCAACCCTTCCTCCCCTCCTCTCCTATAGTTAACATTGCCATGGGACCCCATTCCTATACAGAACAATTATCACCACCTTCCTTTTCCCAACTCCTCTGTACCCTAGACTTCTGCATTGGAACAGTGCTCTGTTCTAAGCATTGTATAGCAATATCTCTACCACTATAAAATCAATTCATGAGGTGAATCTGATTGCAAACTTTTATGAATTATTGCATGGACTAAATAGTCTTGTTATAAACAGGAACCAAGCTAAGGATAAAGAAATTCATGCAATTTAATATACAGATGCTAAAAATGCCTAACGCTTAATTGTGAGATTAAGGGGATCTTTATAATGAGCATCTGTACCATATACAGTACTTCAGCTCAGTTAGTCACAGCTACTGTAGAAGATAAATATTCGAAATTGGTGGAGTCCCAGTTCTTTCGAAAAGGACATGTTTTATCATTTTACTTTCATGTCCATCTACACTATCTTTCGTTGTCAGCCCAATCTTGGAGGTGTGTCATAATATCATCTACTAAGATATGACAAAAGTATTCGGGCTAGCGGGCCAGGTGGTTAATTAGATAATCACAGGGGAGGCTTTAGAGCCCATAAGGAATTGCACGCTACAGTAGGAACTGCAATAAAGAATCCCAATATATTGAAACGTTACTGTTGACTGATAGGAACATATGAGCATAAAAATTCCTGTAACTTTCCAGCCATACAAGTGGGTTGGCCTTTGAGGGGTCATTTTCACAGACCATACTTACAATTGCCACAACTTTGATAGAGATATTGTAAACTAGAAGTTAGATAAGGAGTCTGCCGCTTACATATTAACCATTAAAGGAAATCTTTAGATTATCACCGCATAGCCCAAAATAGGAAGATTCTCACCAAGTTGGGCCTCATCAATTGATATGCCGGAGTTCTGATAAGAGTCACGCAGCTACTCGAACAGCAAATGCCAGTGTAAGATTCTTCACCTGAAATAAACATTTGGACAGAAACTGATGTAGTATAGATATCAATAGAACAGATGAAACTCAAAGGATTATTCCAAATAAGTCATCGAATCACATATCATCAATTCTTATATATATAATTACCCACAGGGGGTAAAGAAAAAAAGGAAAAAGAACAGAATCAGAGGAATCAGTGATCAAAATAGCTCCACATATTTCCTTGTTTCTTTTAGGACTAACTGGCTTACAAATGAATAATAAATATATGGAAGTCATTGTTGTATAGAGTTGTTATGTATTGAAGCATGTAGAAATAAGTTCAATATTACTAGTTTGGGTCCCACATATAAAGTATAAAACAAACTGAAAAAACTATGTTAGCTTGAGTTTCACACGGTAATCCTCCTTATCATATTTTACACACGTCACATCAAATAAATTATTATTGCTTCACCAGACATAACTTGCAGTATATGCTAAAGCCTACTTTAAACAATAATGAAACAAACTTACATGCCCTTAACAACTTGACTACTGACCTAAATAACGTTTACATGATGACAGTGCAAGCTGGATGTGATGCATGAAAGATTGTTCAAAAACAAAATAATCATTCACTTACATCGATGCTGTCAATCACTATCCTAGTCAAACTTAACATTTTGAAGGGTTTATTCAGAGGCTATCATTATTATAAAGCCTAAGAGTATATGAAAATCAGGGAAGATTCATCTCCCCATTCAGCCCTTCAGGGAATATGACTTCTGTCATGCAACCCTGACAGGTTATTGTTACTGCAAAAAGTACTGAACTCCAATATCTTTTATTTCCCTTGAAATTATTTGACCCCTGTATTTCACTTTCTATTTGATGGAAACTATTTCGTTGAGTTCACAATAGTAGGAGCCAAAACAAAAATCTATTGCACAGCAGCTGTAAGTGTAAAGCATAGCACTACTAGATCTGTGAAGTCAACTGCCGGGAACCATAGAGAACTCAAAATCAAGTGATTGTGTATTGGAGAGGTAGACAGTGGAATACTTACAGAATGTCTGAAACGACAATGCTGGGACATCACTTATCTAATAAATGAACAAAAGATAGCTATGACCAAGTGAGGCACTGCAATAAGGGGGTAATAATCGATAAAAACTTTGAAGAGAGAGCCGATTGTACCAATCAAAGTACGATGCAAACATAACTATTCCTTTCACTCGATTTCGCAGAATCCCTCTATAAAATTCCCTTGCCAACTCCAAGCACTACTTGTGCAGTTCTGCCCATGCCCAGCCATCAACTAGGATCGTGTTAGGGTTAATCACTACATGAAGTGAATAAAAAAAATATCAACTGACCTTATTGGGTAAAATTTTACAGGCCTAGCGCCCTACCTCTCAAATTAACATCTAGTGAAACTGAATAATAGATAAACAGAGGCACAAAGTGAGTACTGGTTACTGGTAAGGGAAGGGGCGTCACATCGCCACTACAGTGCTCGCGGCTGGTCTCCTCCCCCTCCGAATCGAACCGAGCAGCGCCGGCGAGGAGGAGCCGCCTTCCCCCAACCCGGCAACCCCCCGAACCCAACGGTGCAGAAGGGGTCGGCGGCCGGAGCGGAGCCGACGCGGCGGTTGAAGGGAGTAGCCGAGTTAGGAGGAGGAGCTCACCGCCGTGCCGAGAGTGGGTGCACGCACGCCGCGCCCCGCCGGCCGGCTTGTTCGGCCGGCCGCCGCTCCGCGCGACGCGGCACGGCGAAGGCGCTCGCCTCGCTCCGTCCGTCCCCACGAGCAGAGGCTTCAGCGGGCCGTGTGCTTCGTCACGGGCCCAACAGCAAGAAGCTCAGCTGGAGAAGCAGCCCGTGTAGATGGGCCCGTCCGGTTACCGTTGATTGGCCTCAGTGGTGAAGGAGCCCGTGTAGATGGATCTTCGGCGTGGGGGAAAAAGGCCGAAATGTCACGGGAACCAACTACGGGAGGCCGTGGGCCGCATCCATTAGGATAAGCGGGCTAGATCTATCCATGCGACTAGCGGGCATCAATTCGCTGCGGAAAATGTCTAATTTTTCTTAGGTTGGATCTAATTCGTCTTTTAACCATAAAATCAGATATAATAACCCCTCTAACTATTAAGAGAGTTGAAAAAGATTTCTAAGATAGTATTGCGGGAAGAGGAGAGAGATATGGGGAGGAGGGAGGAAGGAGAAAGGAAGGAGGGTAAGCGAGAATGACATGTGAGTTCCACTTGATATCCTAACATCCTTGTTGGCTTGGTGTTTTTGACCGTGGTTAATTTGCCACGTTAGCTAATGCCATTCTAAATACTCCCTCCGTATCTAAATATAAGAGATTTTAGTCGGATATAATATATCCTGGTATAATGATTCGTTATATTAGGATGTGTTATTTTCAACCAATATCCCTTATATTTATAGAGACAGATGGAGTAGTGTCTTATAAGTTTTTTTTTCCGGTTTTAACGGTTAGTAGAGTTGTTGTATCCAGCAGCTTTACGATCGAGAAATACGGCCTATATTTAAGGGAGTTACAATAGACATTTTCCATTCGGCAAGTCAGAGGTTGACACGACGACGACGCGAGTCACACGACGCGACAGCCTTCACCGACGCACATGGCCGTCCAGCTCGGGCGCATCACGGGGCACGCCGCACGCGGCCCACTCCGTACCGGCCGCGCCATGGATTCCACGCGGTGGCCGCACTCCGTCCCGTGCGGGCGTGCGGCCCATGCTGCCATGGCATCCAATCCGATGCAATCCAACCGACATCTCCGCGGCCGCATCGCCCGCTCCCGTCACCGACGCAACCCACGGTCCAAAGTCCACAGACTTCACCGCCGCTGTTACCGCGATCCCGGGCTCCTCCCCACAGCTGTCGTCGCGTCAACCCATTATCCTTCACCGCCACACTCGCTGACAGGTGGGTCCACGTCGCCGACCCGCACCACATGGCCCACGAGGCAGTCACCCTACGATGTGTGGCAGTGACCCTATGCAGGCGGTGCCTTATATTTAGCGCACAGGAAACCCATGAGAAATCCAAGGTCATCACCACCTTCTTCCTCCTCTTCATTTGCCATCTTTAGTACCACCTCGCCTTCCCAATCCAATCTCGCCGCCCATTAAGGCCCGAGAGCCCCCATTCCGCCAGATCCATGACGGTCTCGTCGCCGTCGGCGGAGGAGCCGTTCCGGGTGTTCGTCGGCTACGACCCGCGGGAGGACGAGGCGTACGAGGTGTGCCGCCGCAGCCTGCTCCGCCACGCCTCCATCCCCGTCGACGTCCGCCCCATCCGGCAGCCGGATCTCCGCGCGGCGGGGCTCTACTGGCGGGAGCGGGGGCCCACCGAGAGCACCGAGTTCTCCTTCACCCGCTTCCTCACACCCTACCTCGCCGGCTACCGCGGCTGGGCGCTCTTCGTCGACTGCGACTTCCTCTACCTCGCCGACATCGCCGGCCTCCTCGCCTGCCTCCCCTCCTCCGACCCCGACCACCGCCTCGCCGTCGCCTGCGTCAAGCACGAGTACGCCCCCGCCGAGGCGACCAAGATGGACGGCGCCATCCAGACCGTGTACCCGCGCAAGAACTGGTCGTCCATGGTGCTCTACAACTGCGGCCACCCCAAGAACGTCGCCGCGCTCACCCCGGACGCCGTCAGCACCCAGACCGGCGCCTTCCTCCACCGATTCGCCTGGCTCGATGACGACGAGATCGGCGAGATCCCCTTCGCCTGGAACTTCCTCGTCGGCCACAACAAGGTCGACCCCGCCGACCCGTCCACGCAGCCCAAGGCCATCCACTACACCTCCGGCGGGCCGTGGTTCGAGAGGTACAGGAACTGCGACTTCGCCGAGCTCTGGATCAAGGAGGCCGACGAGCTCAAGGCCGACAAGGAGAAGCAGAAGCAGCAGCAGATCGTCATGGCCAACGGCGAGAAGGAGAAAGACGAGGAGGGGAATTGAATCGAATCCAATTGAATTCATTGTGCCGCATTGCGTTGCAATTTTGCATCGAATTGGTTCAAATCTGTTGTTTATTGGGTTGGGGTTGGGTGGTAGGCTATGAGTGGATAGCTCTAGTATTGGTAGTAGTACGCTTTTGTGTAGCGGCAAATCAATCTATCTATGAGTCCTCAATGTTCAGGAATTTTAATTCTTTTGGCCTTTGATCAATTGACCATGTACCTGTTTTTGCTGTTTCTGAATACTGATCATACTGGCTAGCCTTCTCTAATGCTGGAATTGAGAAATCAGGTTGGGTCTCGAGTGTCCCGTGAGGGAATGAAATGTGATCATTTTCCTTTTGCAGTGAAGATTTTGTGCCCATTTCATCAGTTTGCAGGTAGCATTATGTTCATATGTTGATGTCTGCATTCAACCGATTCAGGAGATTGGATTTTCATTTGGTGATCTGAACCTCAGAATGTTCCGTACAGCCGATACAGATAATCTGAAGAGATACCTTCGTTTTATATATCTGTTACTACTAATTAAATTAAAGCTCAGTGACAGATCACAGATGCATGTTCTTTGGAGATTGGACAAGACCAGCTTAAAATGTGTCCTGTCATCCGTACATTGTACTCCTAATCACGTGTAGTGTACACAATACAGTACTACTATTAGATCTCAGTGATCACTGCAGTGTTCTGGTGATCACTGTATTCTGGTCGCCTGAATTTTCTCTCTTGATAAGAGAATCCAAAGCTGACTGAGGTGGTGTTTGGGTGGGAGGGACTAAATAAGTCATTATCACATCGGATGTTTGGACACTAATTATAAATATTAAACGTAGACTATTAATAAAATCCATCCATAATCTTGAACTAATTCACGAGACGAATCTATTGAGCCTAATTAATCCGTGATTAGCCTATGTGATGCTACAGTAAATATTATCTAATTATGGATTAATTAGGCTTAAAAAATTTATCTCGCAAATTAGCTTTTATTTATGTAATTAGTTTTGTAAGTAGTCTATATTTAATACTCTAAATTAGTGTCTAAATATAGAGAATAAAGTTAAGTCCCTGGATCCAAACATCACCTAAACTTTAGTCCTTCACAAAAAACATAAGGGGGTGTTTGGGAGAGAGGGGCTAAACTTTAGCTATCTCTTAAGTATTCAGTCCAAGGATGCAAGCAAAGCATCATGCTGGATGGATTGCTGAACAATTTATCCCATTGATCAATGCCTTTCTCAACATGTTGTGAACTTGTGATCTGAAAGCAAAGTATCTGGTCTCTCTGAACTCTGAAGCTTGGAACCAGCAGCAATTGGTGTCAGTAGTCAGCAACTGTGTACTGAAACGTTGGGTTTGCTGTTTTGAGCCCACTGTAATGCATGTGCACATGTCTTGGCTGTAAGCTGAATACTGAATTCGTTGCAAAATGCCGTATGGATCACAGAAAGCACAGCCAGAATGGATCAGTACATTGGTTCCTGCCTGAGAATGGTTGGAATCTGATGAGTTGCTTGAATTCCTGAAATGTGGTTCCAAACAACGTGTGTAAATTTCCATTCAGAAATACCACATGTAAACTTCAATAGAGGAATTGATCATTGTGAGCTGGTTGCATCTTTGAGGCTAAAACACATTATGTTCATCGATAAAGTACCTCAAACCTTGAAACCTTGAAGAGTGGAGTTGAGGCATCCGGACAGCAGAGGAAGAGCGTGTTGCAGCTGAAGACTGAGGAGCAAATGAAAGATAGCGGCGGCGGAGGCCAATCGTCTTCTCCGCGGCCGGTGGATGTCGCCGCCGCCCACCGGCTTCCAATCGAGTCGCCGCGCTGATCGATGGAGCAAAAACTCTCAATTCCATTTCCGGAGTAACAAGTACGGGCCGCACGTAGCCCGCACTCCCTTTTCGGCCCAATTACTATATAGGCCGCACGTGTTGCATCCCAACAAATGGGCCAAAAGTAATTCGCAATCCAGTCCGGACCGACAGAGTTGGACGTGGCCAGCGAAGTGGGCCTTGTGGGCCATCGCATCGCACCACTGCATTTTATGGTTTGTAACAGGAAAATATGTTGCAACTTTGACGGCATTTAAATTTCTTCAAAACAAGAATATTTTGAAACTACACTGAACAAAAGTCACTGTGAAATTATCTAGTCCTGATGTAGTCTGTCTGTGATTTTGTCATGTATTTCCTTTTTTCCTTTGGTATACTTTGGAACGACCAATTGACAAGTATAGGTTGAATTCACATTGACCAGAAGAAATATACCATACATTATTTCATGATGTCCTCTATACATGATGATAATTTATTGCCTTTCGGTTAATGTTTTCATGGTATCAGGCAGTATTTTGCTATCGTCTACATTACTGTGTACCCTGGACCGCCTCCACCTTCTGGAACGGTCCATTCGATGTTTTGCTTTGGATCTTTGATGTCACAAGCCTGCAGATACCGTCAACATTTCATTCAGTTACAGGAAACAAAAGATGCAAATGTCCATGGACAACTGAATCAACATGGAGGCAAATACCTTGCAATGAAGACAATTTTGAGCATTTATGTGAAGCTTCTGGTCACCTTTCTCGTCGGTGACATACCTGCATGAGAACATGTATGGCAGAAGTGATTAGCAATCCTTGTTTGGGCATTCAGTACTTAATTGTAGGTTATCTTTCATTCAAGTAAGAAAGGCCAATTTCCTTACTCGTAAACTCGAGCTGGACAATAATGTGACTCTGGTCCAGCATACAGAGGAAGATTTACTCTCTCCGGTACTGTAGGATCCCTCAAACGGAGATGAGGAGGTTGATCATGCTCATGGTTTGTGCTGCTCCTGTATAAATGAGATCATACATGATCAGTGTACAGAATATGCATGTAAATCACTCCACATTACATTTCAGTTCATGAAAAAAAAATGGAGAACGATAGCCATTCACCCACTAAATTTGATGAATCTGCCGCCACTATACTACATGTGACTATTAAGAAAAAGCTCTAAACCAATTCACAGGAAAGCACTATTGCTTCTAAAAATTGTGAACATAACTTGAAACTTTGAAAGAAAGAATTCTAAAGAGTGATGTCTAAAGAGTGATGGACGTCATCATTCTTGCTGCATATCTTACCTGTATAAAGAAGTTGGTACGTCAAAGGATATTTGACCATCTGGTTTCGGATATTGAATAGGCGAGTGCAAACTGGCCATCTGTTCACAAGAATGTGTTTGGTTAATGTCAGTAGTGAAAAAATGAAACAATGTGCTTTTCATTTATGCTAACAAAGAATGTCTATATTAGATGAGCACCAGCAGTACTTGAAACTCACATCTGTTGCTTCATGGTCAGGTATCCCGTGCTTTAAGGTAAAGGGGGACTTTCCTTTGAATACGTATCTAAAAATTGAACAATAACAACAAACGTCAGCGAACCAAGTAGAGTATTGACTTCATCCCAAAAGAAGTATAGAATATTAAGTAATATTAACAAATTAGTTGGGCCTCACCGTTCCAGTGCAGACAAGGCAATGCCTGGAATAAATCCATATTCAAATGCCTGTAACAGAATATAAATAAATCTGTCTGCTCAATAGCTTCAGAAAGGAAAAAACAGAAACTGCATATCCTCACTTCAAAAGCTTGTATGACGGAATACTTAATTAGACAAAATAAATGTTCAGGAAGTCTGTAACAAACATAATCACATACTGGTCTGTAATTCCGAGCTCTATAAAGCTCTTCCCATATCCATGACTTCTTGAGATTCTCCCAATAGAGTTCCATCGAAGATCCTTCAACAAGAGTTTTGAAAGTTGCTTCTGCAGCCAGCATACCTGTTGTACACATCCAACCCTTTAGTACATGGCTTCTCAGCATACTCTACAGTTAGCACACATGATCTACCATTTTTGGTTGAGAATAATGTGCCACTTTAAGGAGATCAAAATGTGTACTCTGAAAGAAATGTAAAGTAATTGACATAAAAGTGAACAGGCAGCACTACAACATAAAGCTCAAAGCATCACGTAAAGAGATACCTGACTTCATGGCTGTATGAGTTCCTTTTATTTTGGGAACATTAAGGAACCCTGCAGAGCATCCAATAATTGCACCTCCAGGGAAAACTGGATTTGGTATTGACTGAAATTTTACATGAACATTATCAGCACCCTATCAGTAACTATTGCTAACAACTAAAGAAAACAAAATACAGGAGACCTGACTGAATGACGGAGGTAAAAGCTACAGTGTCGAAACATATAGCATAACAAGAACACTATAACAATGCTGTGTCTCAAAGTTCATGTACCAGTTAACCGGAAACACCAGGTGAATTGATTTTGATGTAAAATGCTTGTAATGTCATAAACCGGCAGATGCCCAATATAGTTATGCGCAGAGTTTACATATCATATGAATCTATTTACAACAAAATTTTCATTTCTTTGACATGCCACTTACTTGAAAACCACCTTCATTCAACGTACGAGCACCATACTGAAGAACTGTTCCACCATCCAAAATTGTCCTGACAGCAGGGTGTTGCTTGAATTTCTGAAATATAAAATATGATTGCATAATGCTTAGAAGAAAAAAAATCGACCATCAGGAGTTCAGGACTATACTAGTACACTACCATCATAAAAGAACATACCCATAGAAATTTGACTAACCTGGAATTCATCGTATGGGCTCATGAAAGGATTTTGATAGTTCAAGGCAACAACCAGACCTATCGCTAACTGAAATATCAGAGCAGAGATAAAGTAAACACCACTAAGCGATAAAGTAATCAAAATTTCCGGGGAAAAAACTGAGCAAGTTATACATTTATCCACTCTGCAAACAAAAGGCCTTATGATAAGGGATGAATTAATGGTTCCTCCTTTAAACCCAAATTATAATCTGTAAGCTGTGAACTTAGGTTGTGGAGAAGGATGCATCTATCATGTAAGATAAATACATTTTTACATCTTTACACAGATGACAGACTTCACTGAACATATATTTGCAAAAGAAAAGAGAACTCATAAAGGGATATTGTAGCAAATAACAGAAGAACTACCTGTCTATCATCAAGGTGATACATAAATGATCCTCCATATGTTTTCGAGTCCAAAGGCCACCCTACAGTATGAATCACAGAACCTGGCTTGTGCTTTCCTTCCTCGATCTCCCAAACCTAAGAAAGCTTCCAATTAGTTTCAAGTGGCACTGCTAACTCGTCTGTAAGTCATTTTAAGGAAAAGAATGGAGATGTTTTGAAGATAAAGCTAGTAAA